TGCAAGCAGAAGGCTGCGGGTTCAAGGCCAGCACCTGCCTTTCTCTGCCCGGGTTGGTGGACAGCTGCGGCTACCAGAGAGCTGTGGACTGCTGAGCCAGACAGACTAAAGAGCAGCTGTGTGTGGAATGATTTGCTGGGAGGGAGAGGACGTTGTGGGGCTACACTCGCTAGTTAGGAGATTGCAGGCATAATCTGGGCTAGTTCCGGAGGGTCGTTTGCATTTTGGAGACTGACGGAGGAGGGCCGACCGGATCTGCTGATGTGGCACCGTTTTCCCATGCTGGACCTGCAGCATGTCTAACACGCTTCGCCTATTCGGATTTCAGAAATCGCAGTCCTACTGCTTCGCTGACTAGATCCCATCATGTTGACTATACCGACTGATACTGTGTAATCTGCTTTAGTGAGAAAGGCAGACTATAAATATAACAAACAAGCAAACAAACAGAGGGTCTGGCATCTCCAACCTTTTTTGAGCCTGTGGGCATCTTTAGAATTCTGACAGGAGGAGGAGAGATTGGATTTATACCCTGCCCATCGCTACCTGACGGAGTCTCAGAGCGGCTTGCAATCTCCTTCCCCTTCCCCTCCCTACGACAGACACCCTGTGAGGCGGGTGGGGCTCTGAGAGAACTTGTGAGAACTTGTGACTGGCCCAAGGTCACACCAGCAGCTGCATGTGAAGGAGTGGGGAATCAAACCCAGTTCTCCCAGATCCGAGTCCATGCTCCTAATCACTACACCAAACTGTGGTGGGTGCCAGTGTTCCCTCTAAGCTGAGTTAGAGTGAGCTAGCTCACAGTTCTTTAGCCTCCAGCTCAAACTTTTTTGTTTCAGCTCAGGAAGGATGGCTCCAGAGCAAACTAATTTATGCAGTTGCTCGCTCACAACTTTAATGCCAGTAGCTCACAAAGTAGAATTTTTGCTCACAAGACTTCACAGCTTAGAGGGAACATTGGTGGGCGCAAGCAGAAAATGCCCGCCATGAGAGACAGAGTTACACACAAAGGAAGCCCAAGCGTCAGGGACAAGAGGAGGAATTTTTTAAAAAACTGGGCTGGGAAAGAGCAGTGAGAGAGAGAATAAAACCAACAGTACAGTGGTGACTGCCACCGAAACATTATTTTAATTTGCACAGCCAATCAGCTCTCCAACAGCCAATCAGAAACCCTGCTGGGCAGGAGCCCCACCTGGCCCCACCCACCTTCTGAAAACAACTGGTGCCCACGGGCACCACGTTGGGGACCCCTGAATACCCTATCCAGGCTAAGCGTTGTCGAAAGTGCTGCAGAATCATAAAGCACATGGGGCAATAAGGCAGCAGGCAGAACTGTCTAAGGGACCAGTGGACGCATGGTCAAGCGGGAGGTACAGAATTCCTGGGATTGAGCAGAAAAGGAGAAATCTGGGCAAATGACAGTGGACGTGTGAAATATGCCCCCCCCCCCCACGTCCCCATGCAAACATGGTCTCCTGTTCATGCAAGAGACAAAGAAATTGACCAGAAAACCAATCCCACGGATTTTGTTATTTCAAATCATATATCTGGAACAAGAGCAACCCCTAGCGGGACAAAACTGTAGTTACGGCTTTGTTTTCACGGCAGGAGCTGCACCGGCTATTATACTGGTTTGGCTTGTTTTTAGATTGGGATGTTTTTAATTCTGAACCGCCTCAAGCAGGACTCTGAAGCGGCAGTACAGAAAAAGAGGCTGAATAAACACGGAATCCTTTCATAAGCCGTGTGCCTGATGGGAAGAATACAACCAGACCTGAAGAGCCAAAATATGCGAGTTGCTGGGAGATTTGTGAAGGAGTCTCCAGGGCGCTTTCACTGGTGAACTGCAGCCGAGGCTGGAGGAGACGGCCGAGCTAGCAGGTTTGGGGGCACATTACAGGACAGGAAAATACCAGGAAGAGCAGGGCTATCATAAGAACATAAGAACATAAGAGATGCCCATCCAGTCCAACACTCTGTATCACACAGTGGCCAGAAATACCAGTGCCATCAGGAGGTCCACCAGTATCGAAAAACCCCTCTCTCATGCTACAGATCCAAGCTACGTTGCAAGGATGGGGGGGGGGGGGGAGAGTGGCATGGCTGCTATTTACCAATAAAAAACACCAGGTGATCCATTGCTGGATCTCTCAGTGACTTCGACTGAAACAATGGCAGAAAGTGGTTTTAAGGTCAGATTTCAATCATTGTTACCTAGAATCATAGAACAACAGAGCTGGAAGGGACCTCCAGGGTCATCTAGTCCAACCCCCTGCACAATGCAGGAAATTCACAACTACCTTCCCCTCCACACACACCCTCGGTGACTCCCTGCTCCATGTCCAGAAGATAAGCAACAAACAATACAGCACACAGTCTAATATAGCCAGGAACAGCAAACCAAAACAACTGTGAGCTGAAATACCCGCAAGTATAAATGTACAAAAAGAGACTTCAATAAAGTGAAAAGAAGCATACAATTAGCAATATCAGTAACAAATATTACATATGGGAACGAAAAATCCACACAGTCCATGAAGGGAAACAGTCGAGTCAAGAGAAGATATCCAACACTTTTCGTAGGTAGTTTATAGTGTTTCAGACTCCTGGTCCTTCCTCAGGAACAAAGAACAACATAGGAAGTCTCATACCAGTTTCTTAACAGGATGATATTATTCAACTTCTCTATGGGCAAGTTCTCCTAAGTTTTAATATGCACCTCTAGGGTTGCTTCTTTGTGAACAGGACCAAACATGCCTCACGGTTGTTTTGTTTTGCTGTTCCTGGCCATGTCCAGAAGATGACCAAAAAAAAAAAAAAAAAACCCCCCAGAATCCCTGAATCTGTGGCCAAGCTGGCCTGGAGCAAAGATTGCTTCCTGAAAGTGGCAACTGGCCTTTCCCCTGGGTAAGAAGGGGCCACGAGAACTAAGCACTGAGGCAACCCTTCCTGCCCTCCCTTCTCATGATCCCTCCCCCTCCCCACTGTTTTCCATATTACTAACAGCTGTGTTATTCATTCTTAGATGCCATCGTATAAAGTTTATTAAACTCGGGGGGCCCCCAACGTGGTGTGCACTGACACCTTTCCTGGGGCCCACCGAGTGTTTTTAGAGAGTGGGTGGAGGGCCAGGCAGTGTCCCCTCTAAGATGAGTCAGTGTGAGCTAGCTCACAGTTTTTTAGCCTCTGGCCCACACATTTTTGTCTCCGCTCAGGAAGGAGGGCACCAGAGCAAACTAATTGAAGCAGCAGCCAAACTGCTCGCTCACAACGTTAATGCCAAGTAGCTCACAAAGTAGAATTTTTGCTGACAAGACTCCACAGCTCAGAGGGAGCACTGCAGACAGGGAGGGCTTTTGCCTAGCGAGGGTCCCAATGGGCTGTGCGGGTTTCCTAAAATGTTGCTTTGCCGGCACAGCACAAGGATCTTCATTGTGCGGCTGAAGGAAAGCTGCAGCAGCCATCTTGTGGCTGGCTCCGCCTCCTCTGGCAGCCATCTTGTGGCTGTGCCCACCACACCGTGTCAGAACGCCAAAGGTGCGCACGGGCTCCAAAAGGTTGGGAACTCCTGATTTAACTGTAATGTATTTGCACTTTGGTAACAAAAAGTTGTGCTAAACCAAACTCTTTTGGCACAGAAGCGTGCAAGCTTTCGAGTCCCACAGCACTCTTCAGACAGCTGTGCACAGCTCAACAAGCAAGCACAAACAATGATGTAAGCCTGTCAGTTGTGCATGTCGGAATCTAGGCCCGCAGAGGCCAATGGTATGGGCCGTTAAACAAGGAACTGAACAACTACTGACACTCAGAACACATCCCCCCTCTGCCCCCCACGTACCTGTATAGAAGAGAAACTGGATGAAGTATTTCTGGTTCAGCTCCCCAACGCAGTTGTTTATCCTTCAAGGAAGAGAGATCAACTGCATGAGTTAAACACACACACCAGCACATAATTCCTAGAACAGCAGCAGCTAGAATTGTCCCATCTTGGCTGTCCTCTTGTTGTTTTTATTCAGAGCTCTCATAAGAACATAAGAGAAGACAACGTTGGATCAGGCCAATGGCCAATCTAGTCCAACACCTGTCACACAGTGGCCAAAAATACCAGGGGCCATCAGGAGGTCCAGCAGTGGGGCCAGGACACTAGAAGCCCTCCCTCTCTTGCCTCGTCCTTCTCTGGAAGCAGGCTCAAGGCATCTTATGTTCATTTTTAAACCATAAAGGTTATCGAGGTGTAAGTCCACAAACTTTGCAGTCACTCGAGGACTTCCACAAAGATTTAAGCATCGACTACAAACCCTCTCCAAACATTTCCGCCCTTAAATAGTTAGCTAAAATTTAACACGCTGGACACCTTCCAGACAAAGCCAAGGAAAGTAATGCAACAATATGGGAGCTGGTACAGAAAACCTGTGGCATCTGGCAGAAGCTGTTCACATTTGACTGCAAGAAGGTGCTGTAAGCAAACCTTGGACGGTCAGAGGACCACACAAAATTGTCACGTGGGAGCCTAGTGGAAGGTCTTGCAAGTATGCAGGGCCTAAGCCATGAAGGGCCTTAAAAGTAAGAACCAAGACATTGAAATGAACCCAGAAACAGATAGGGACCCAATTTAAGGTTTATAAGACCACGGTCATACGAGCAACAGTGGCCTGCTCCAGATAACAAACGAAACGTCAAGGTTATCTCCAAGGGCAGCCCCAGGCAGAGCGTTTTCATAAGAACTTAAGAGAAGCCAATGTGGGATCAGGCCAATGGCCCACCCAGTCCGACAGTCTGTGTTAAAAAGGGGCCCAAACCCAGGTGCCATTGGGAGGTCCACCTGCGGGCCCAGAGCTCCAGAAGCCCTCCCACTGTTTCCCCCCTAAACACCAAGGATACAGAGCATCACTGCCCCAGACAGAGTATTCCCTCTATAAAAAGGTAAAGGTTCCCTTGCTCGAAAGCCAGTCGAATCCGACTCTAGGGTTGCGGTGCTCATCTCCGTTTCCAAGCCGAAGAGCCAGCACTGTCCAAAGACCTCTTCGTGGTCATGTGGCCGGCATGACTAAACGCCGAGGTGCGCAGAACGCTGTTACCTTCCCACCGAAGCGGTACCTATTTATCTACTTGCAATTTCTTGCTTTCAAACTGCTAGGCTGGCAGGAGCTGGGGCCAGAGACGGGAGCTCACTCCGGCACGCGGCACACTCGGGTCTCGAACTGCCGAACTACCGACCTTCCAGTCTGCAGTTCAGTGTCCTTAACCTCTGAGCCACCGTGGCCCCTCTATTACCTCGTGGCTAATAGACCTTTGTTGCCTGCAGGTCAGTTGTAAAAGTGGGAGATCTCCAGGCCCCACCTGGAGGCTGGCAACCCTAACTCCTGATCGATAAAGAACCATATAGCAGGTGTTGCCTGCATCTTGATGACAGCTGACTCCAACGCTGCGGATGATCTCGCTTAAAAGTTTCACAGAGATACTGAAAAACGTGGGCCCAGAACACTGTGGAACGCTGCAGTAAAAACCCCATCGGGCAGACTCAAGAGCCCCCCGACGGCAAAATACCGTCAGATGGAAAAAGCACCAAACCACTCAAGCGTTCCACCTCTAACCTTCTCCGATTTCCAGACGCTTTAATGATATCAGGTGGTTGGCTGTTATCAAAGGCTGCGGAGAGATCAAATAATATTAACAAAGAAGCGGATCTCTGTCGGCCTGCAAGTGGAGATTGTCCGCTGGAGCAGCCAAGTCCGTCTCGGTTCCAAAGGCGGGCCCGACGCCAGACTGAAAAGGGTCAAGGCTGGGTGGGTCGCCATGGAAGCCGTGGAATTGATCAGCTGACTCAACCACTTCCCTTGAAACAGGTTGGCTCCAGACTGGCCTATAATTAGCCACAACCTGACTGGCCACTTCTTTAAGAAGAAGGAGATTGGATTTATACCCCACCCTTCACTACTCAAAGGAGTCTCAGAGCGGCTTACAAACTCCTTTCCCTTCCCCTCCCCACAAGAGACACCCTGTGAGGTAGGTGGGGCTGAGAGAGCTCTCTCGAGGACTGCCCTTGAGAGAAAAGCTCTGAAACAGCTTCCAACTGACCCAAGTCTCACCCAGCTGGTGGCATGTGGAGAAGTGGGGAATCAAACCCGGTTCTCCCAGATTAGAGTCCGCGCTCTTAGACCAAACTGGCTCTCAGTTTAACCAAGGGAAAACAACATCTTGTACTGATGGTCCTCCTAAGTTCCTGGGAAGGTGAGGGCCACAGAAACACTGAGCTGGAAGGGCCATCGAGTCGACACCTCCTGCCCAATGCAGGAAATTCACACATATACCTCCCCCCCTCCCAGTGGACACCCCACCCCCCCGCTCTATGCCCAGAGATGGGGAAAAACCCTCCAGGATCTCTGGGCCAATCTGGCCTGGAGAAAAAAAAATGCCTTCCTGACCCCAAAGTGGCAATCAGCATCACCCTGGGTATGCAAGAAAGCGTCACAAGAGCCAAGCGCTGGCTCATCCCTCCCTGCCCTCCCTCTCACGATCTGCCTAAGTTCACGGAATCAGCACGGCTGTCAGATGGCCACTTAGAGAGCCAGTTTGGTGTAGTGGTTAAGTGTGCGGACTCTAACCTGGGGGAACCGGGTTTGATTCCCCACTCCTCCACTTGCACCTGCTGATGTGACCTTGGGTCAGTCACAAGCTCTGGCACAGCTGTCCTTGAAAGAGCAGTTTGTGTCAGAGTTCTCTCAGCTCCCACCTACCTCACAGGGTGTCTGTTGTGGGGAGGGGAAGGGAAAGGAGTTTGTAAGCCGCTCGGAGACTCCAAGTGAAGGGCGGGGTATAAATCCAATCTCTTCTCTCTTCTTCTTCTTAGCCTCTGCTTAAAAATCTCCATAAAAGGAGAGCCCACCACCTCCTAAGGAAGCCTGTTCCACCGAGGAACCG